ATTATAGTTTTATTCTTAACTTGGAAAATTAAAATTCGAATTTATTTACACAGTTTCTAGCCCGGCTTCTGTTATTTTTTCCGGCGTAATATTTATTTTCAGTCATTGCTTTCTAATGTCAAGTCTCCCATATTCGCTCCATGCTTAAATTTTTTCCACGGTTCATTAAACGTATCGTTACTTCTTAATCTTTGATGTTCACTAGTTTTCCCCTTATTAATAAAAAGATACTATTATGGCACAGCTTAAAATACGATCTGTAATTAGATCTGTATTCGTCCGTATTTTACGTGATCCGCCCATAATTAAGTCACTTCTAATCAACGTTTTCTACTATACTCAAATTCCTATATGTTTCAACCATTTCCCAAGCATTCTAGGTTTTCCGTTTCTCTGTATTGACTTTGTCTAGTTCTTATTGGTGTACAGATATNAGGTCATGTTCATCACTAAATTAATTTATATCTTAGTATAATTACCTAGTTGATGATACATTTTCTATTTGTCTCGAAAATATAAAAAAAAAAAAAATCAAAAATCCAAGGTATACTACCTGAAGATACTTTTCATGATCGATTAAAATTCGGATCAAAGGCTGAAATTAATAATATAATTATTGACCCTGCCCCCCTTAAAAATAATGATACATATAGGACTTACTTGAGAGACACGTGTGTTATCCATTTTTATATTTCTTCTTGTTTCGGCAATTATCGAAGACAGTTAAGTTCAATTACTGTAGCATCAAGATTCTTAACAAACGTCTTCCTTTACATTGTCGATTTCTTAACGGCCTTCATGGTCATCTTGAGACCGGCTTCCATTTTTTTATTCGCTTATTGTTTTCTCATGATCCAAACGCCTGTTGTGCAGCCTACTGTTTATCGTTTATCGGATTGATTAGTTATAATATTACTAGTTGTGTCGACCGGCGTAGCTCGTGCAAAATAAATGTGAAAAAAACACTACTTCCCTCTAGATTTCTTGTTTAAATCTCAGTCACTATAACTGCAGTCAACTGTTGTCGCTTTTAAATGTTTAAAAAGGCATTATTCTTACTTAAATTTTTCCATTTTGATAAATAATTATACAATTGTTAAGTAAACAAAATATCCGACTTTCCTATATCCATATGTACCTAATTGATACATAGTCTGTCTTTCTTGAATATTTTTAAAAGACCACTGTCCACGTTTGTATCTTCATGAACAATCACAATGCCGAACGTGAACCCAATCTAAAGTATTAATTAATATTTGACCCCCCCAACGCCCTCTAATCAGAAGATTAATTAAGGGCTCACGCTCACTTGAGGGATAACTTTAATATTCTTCCTTATGTTTTCCTCTCTTCGGACACATTGTATAAAAGACGATTAATGTCCATCGCTTGATATCAAGATTGCTCCATTACGTACACTTCATCGTTATCTTGACAATCGACTAGGTCGTTTTGATTACGGACTCCTTTTTTCTTTCGTTTCTTGTCTAACATTTCAAACACGTTCGGTACATCTTATTCTGCTACTTTCGTTAAAATTTATTTATAATATTATTTATCTATGCTATGTATCTATTACTCAGGTTTTAATATAGGTATATAGGATATATTCTGCATACTCGAGTTCATGAAAACCATCAAATTACATAATAGTATCTGTAATATACAATTAGGATGCGACGGAAGCTTTCATGACCTGACTAATTACAAATAAAAATAATTAATTTTCGACAACCCCCCCCTGCAATAAAAGTTACATATTTATACGTACTTATCTGTGAAATAATTCGATATTATGTTTAATTATTATTAATATTAATATTATAGTTTTATACTTATCTTGGAAAATTCAAATTCGAATTTATTTACATATCTTCTAGCCCGGCTTCCGTTCTTTTTTCCAGGGTAATACTTATTTTCAGTTATTGCTTTCCTACGTCAAGTCTTCACGATTCGCTCCATGCTCCATTCGCTCCATATTAAATTTATTCCACGGTTCATTAAACGTATCGTCACGTCTTAATCTTTGATGTTCACTAGTTTTTTCCTTATTAATAAAAAGATACTTTTATGGCACAGCTTAAAACACGATCTATATTTACGTTTGTGTTTGTCTATATATTAAGTGATTCACCCACATTAAAGTCGCGTCGTTGCAATGTTAACTACGATATATGAATTCCAAAAATGTTCTGCCCAATTCCTATTATTACGATTTTTCCATTTTTCTGTTTTTACCTTGTCTAATTCTTATTGATATACGGCTGAAAGGTCATCGGTGTATTATTTTCTACCTTAGTGTACTTACCTTATTAATACATATGTAATATTTTTCTCGAATATATTAAAACGACCATGTTCCACTGTAGTATCTTCAGGAACGACCACAATTCAGAACGCTGGTCTGACTTAAATTAATCAATTTATATTTCACCCCCCACCCCTCTGTTTTATCAGACGATTTTTATGAACTGACCCTCACTTAAGAGAAAACTTTAATTATCCTCCTTTTGGTCTCTGTAGGTATTTATTAATGACGATCGAAGTCCATCGCTTGATATCAAGATATCTCCATTATGTACATTTCATCATTTTCTTAACAATCGTCGTGGTCGTTTTGAGTGCGCACTCCATTTTCTATTTCTTTTTCAACAATCCAAACACTTGCGGTACATTTATTCTGCTTCTTTCGTTAAAATTTATGTGTAAAATTATTTATCTATACTAGTTTCATAATACTCGGATTTTAATAATAGGTATGTAGGATATATTCGGCCTACATGAAAATATGAAAATGGCTAAAGACCACAGTAGTATCTTTAATATACGATTTGAACATTTCTAATGTAATCAGGATCTTAAGAATTAAAAATTAAAAAAATTAATTTTCGACTAACTATTCCCCTTCCCCGTGCTAAAAAGTAACAGATTGATA